AATAAGTACCGCTCCGGCAGGACAGTAATGGCACTCCATGCAGTCATGCCGGCCACATGACCTTGGAGGTTTCTATGGACAATGCTGGCTCTTCGGCTTTGAAATGGAGATGACCAGGTTGTGGCACCTCTGGTTGGGAGTCAGCTGCATTAAAACTCAAGAGGTCATGAGTTCGAAGCCAGCCTAGGTTGGAGTGAGCTTCCGACCATTTGTCTAGCTTGCTGTCGACCTTTATTTATTTATTTATTTATTTACGTACGATGCTATCACCATATAAACCAGGGATCCTCAAACTAAGGCCCGGGGGCCGGATACAGCCCTCCAAGGTCATTTACACGGCCCTCACGCAGGGTCAACCTATGTCTGAAACGACTAGAAAGCACACAACAACAACAATAACAATCTATCTCATCAGCCAAAAGCAGGCCCACACTTCCTATTGAAATCTATATATATATAAATGCTCTGTGCATAATGAGCTCCTTAAAAACAAAAGAACCAATGAACGAAATCACACCAAATTTGGCAACCAAATGTCTCACAACACAAGGAGTGACCATCACTCAAAAAATTATGATTTTCTCATTTGGGAGTTGTAGTTGCTGGGATTTATAGTTCACCTACAATCAAAGAGTATTCTGAACTCCATCAACGATGGAATTGAACCAAATGTTTGGTGAACATTGACCTTGAATTTGGGAGTTGTAGTTCACCTACGTCCAGAGAGCACTGTGGACTCAAACAATGATGGATCTGGACCAAACTTGGCACGAATATTCCATATGCCCAAATATGAACATAGATGGAGTTTGGGGTAAATGGACCTTGACATTTGGGAGTTGTAGTTCCTGGGATTTATAGTTCACCTACAATCAAAGAGGATTCTGAACCCCACCAAAGATGGAACTGAATCAAACTTCCCACACAGAACCGCCATGACGAACAGAAAATACTGAAGGTCATCCAGTCCAACTCCCTTCACCAGAAAACATAATCAAAGCCCTCCTGACAAAGAGCCATCCAGCCGTAGATATAGATAGATATATGTGATTCACACACACACAGATATAGTATCATAGATTTGAAAGGGTGGGCAAACCAGACACTCTCCACATCAACACTGACAAATAAACAGCAAGAAATACTGTTGGCCCACAAGCATAAAGAAATTACATATATTAGAAACCAACACTTTCTCATTACTTTATTTTCCAGATCAACAGACTGGGCCACAGCAACACGTGGCAGGGACAGCTAGTATGTTTATATTTGTTAAAAGTGTTCTTCATTTTAATTATTGTATTGTTTTAAAAGTTTTTGAGGGACTGTGACCTGGCCCTCTGTTTTAAAAGTTTGAGGACCCCTGATATAAACAATCAACAAATACATTAAAACATTAGAGCAATTCATTAAAACAATAGATTAAAAGACAGTTGCATCTGTGAAGTAGGCAATTTACGTACCACTTATACAGGGAGGCTAATTTAACTAATTTACAATGCCATAAAAATTCCCCAGCGTGCAAAAGAATAAGGAAGTACTCCATCGGTGTCACAAGTGGATGGTGAAGCGACAGCTCCCCTGGTGGCTGGAATTAAAAAAGCATCCCCTCATGAAGCTGGTAAGTTAAATAGCCTCTGTGCCTCTGTCTATATATGTTGTGTGTCTATAGCATTGAATGTTTGCCCTATATATATGCATTGTGATCCACCCTGAGTCCCCTGCAGGGTAAGAAGGGTGGAAAATAAATGCTGTAAATAAATAAATAAATAAATGAGTACCAACCCCCAGAGTTGGACACAACTGGACATAATGTAAAGGGAAAACCTTTACCTTTACTATGATGGAAGAGTGGGAGACAATATGGAACAACAACAGAAATAAATAAATTACACCTATGCCTTTGACCTGAAGGAAAATTGGCTAAAAATGATGTATCAATAGTATATGACACCAAAGAATATAGCAAAAATTTCAAAATACTTAAATTATAAATGCTGGAAATGTGGAAAGTGTGAAGGTTCCTTCTACCACATGTGGTGGTCTTGTGAGAAGGTGAAATCCTTCTGGAAAAAATTCATGAAATATGACAAAACATTTTAAATTCCCACCGCAATCGGAGTATTTCCTATTGGGAATGACCAATATCCAATATTTTATGGTGTCGTAAAACCCCTGTGCCAGCAGGACTGAAGACCGACAGGTTGCAGGTTCAAATCCAGGGAGAGGCGGATGAGCCCCCTCTATCAGCTCCAGCTCCTCATGCGGGGACATGAGAGAAGCCTCCCACAAGAATGATAAAAACATCCAATCATCTGGGCATGCCCTGGGCAACGTCCTTGCAGACGGCCAATTCTCTCATACCAGAAGCGACTTGCAGTTTTTCAAGTTGCTCCTGACACGACCAAAAAAAAAATAATCTTACTTAACAACAGCAGCAAGGATTGTGTTTGCCAGAGTTTGGAGACAAAAGTTAATGCCACTTAAAGAGGAACGGATAAAGAAAATTACAAATATTATGAATATGGACAAACTGACTTTCCTGAGATCAAAGTCACAGAATAAACACATCAAGATGACAGACTGGACACCGCTTAAAGAATGAATGAAAGAAAATAAAATAAAAATATTAATCTGGAGTAAGAAACACGGATGACAATAGCATCACTGCAGAAAAAAAGCGAGAAAAGCAGAAAATAAAAATGAGATTAAAAGACAATGAAAAAAATAAAAGAAAAAATAGAGCAAAATGTGATGCAGAATAATGTCCCTTCTGCAGAAACAGTTTTATAAACTTTTCCCATGTTTTGATAATACAACCAATGAAGAAATTACACTTATAACCCAGGAACAAAAATCATGTTACATAGTATTATAGCATCCTTGGATGCATGCTCCTTTGTGCATGAAGGCGTCAAATACAAGCATGGGATAGGAAAGAAGGATGCTCAGGTTGTATCGCTTCTCTAACTTTATGGCCAGGTAGAAATTTAATCACTGGTTGCTTTCTACCTGGAAAAGTAGGAAGGAAACCCTGTCGAAATGCTCATTTTCTCCAAATATACTGGAGAAAGGGGAGTCTGTATGTGGCCCTTTGGTGGTAGGTGGCCCTGAAAGGTCAAGTGCAACCCTTGGGAAAATGTCAACCTCTCATAAGCTACGGCAGTGTTTCTCAACCTTCCTAATGCCACAACCCCTTAATACAGTTCTTCATGTTGTGGTGACCCCCAACCATGAAATTATTTTCATTGCTACTTCACAACTGTAATGTTGCTACTGTTATGAATCGTAGTGAAAATATCTGATATGTAGGATGTACTGGTATTTTCATGGATCAAATTTGGCACAAATAATCAATACGCCCAAATTTGAATGCTGGTGAAGTTGGGGGGGGGAGGGTGAGTGGCATTGAATTTGACATTTGGGAGTTGTAGTTGATGGGATTTATAGTTAACCTACAATCAAAGAGCATTCTGATCTCCACCAACAATGGAATTGAACCAAACTTCTCACACAGAACTCCCATGACCAACAGAAAATACTGGAAGGGTTTGGTGGGCATTGACCTTGAGTTTGGGAGTTGTAGTTCACCTACATCCAGAGAGCATTGGACTCAAACAATGATAGATCTGGAACAAACTTTGTTACAGTAAGTCAATATGCCCAAATGTGAACACTGGTGGAGTTTGGGGAAATAGACCTTGACATTTGGGAGTTGTAGTTGCTGGGATTTATAGTTCACCTACAATCAAAGAGCATTCTGAACCCCACCAACAATAGAATTGGGCCAAACTTCCCGCACAGAAATGACCAACAGAAAATACTGTGTTTTCTGATGGTTTTTGGTGACCTCTCTGACATCCCCTCGTGACCCCTTCCCAGGGGTCCCGACCCCCAGGTTGAGAAACACCGAGCTACAGGAATGGCATCCACAGGACTCTTGGTCAGTTTCATTGCAACTGTCCCATTCCCTTTTTCCACATCCATCACCTCATTATGTGTTGTTCCTTGAACTCCTTAACTCACACGAGGTTGTGTCTGTATTTCTCCGAAGTGCACATTGTTGGTAATGCAACAAAGCTTTACTCCGAAGAGTGAAGAATGCCTTATAATGCACTGTTGACAATAGGATCTGATAGTTTGAGGTAGATATAGAGTTAAGTGTTCCCTGCTCTGCCTACCAATCCTTTTTTAATAATTAAATTATGTATTAAGACAGATTAAAACAAAACCTACATACAAACAACAACAACAAAATATTAAAAATACTTTTTCTAGAATAATACTACTGCATCCCAAACATCAAAACCCTAGAACAATAACTACAAATGACAAACAATCTATGTTATGTAATCTAATGGCATAACATTCTCTGCCTACCAATCCTGACCCTTTTGTGATGTAAATGATCCCCCTTTGGGATGTTTCTCTGCTTCATCTGGTAGGTTAGATCTGTGTAATTTTCCTATCTTAGGTTAGAGTTCCTCTGACACACATTGGTTACTTTCTCCAAGCCTTTGGTTTGATCTTAAACTAAGATCTCTATCCACTGCATGCAATCAAACATATAAGCTATGTAAATGTCATTCACGGGGCCCTTATGCCTTTTGTTGCAACTGTCCTGTGAACTCGTTGTCCAGCCCACTCTGTCTGGATACTCAAACTTATTACTCATAGAACCATAGAGTCATAGAGTTGGAAGAGACCCCAAGGGCCATCCAGTCCCTCCGCTCTTCTGCTGGGCAGGAAGACACCATTAAAGCCTCCCCCCCCCCCACAGATGCCCACTCAGCCTCTGCTTAAAGACCTCCAGAAAAGGAAACTCCACTGGATTTGCAGACAGTATATTTCACTGTCAAACAGCTCTGACATGTGGATCCTTGAACTCGTTACTCACATGAAGATCTACTGCCCTGAAGCCATGCAAACGTGACCTATAGGCCTGATCCCTCAACCCTTTCCTTGCAACTGCCCAATGGCCCCTTGCCCTCGGTACTCACATGAGGTTGTGCCTGTATTGCCCTGAGCTGGGCCAGTGGGCCGACTCCACGTCGGAGACGCCGGTGCTCCCGGGCAGCACCAGGACCTTCCTGGCTGAGGTGTGCCATGCACTGCCGGCCAAGTGGCGCCTCTGAGGGCTGACCCAGTAGTCCTGAAGACCATGGCGGACAGAGTAGGAGGCTGGGTGCAGGCTGGACAGACGCTTCCAGGGCATCTCCGCAAAGACCCGGCGGGGAGAAGGGCTCCGGGGCCTCCTGCAGAGGGAATACAAGTCGTCAAAGGGCAAAGGATGCGAGCTTTGGATTGGCTTCCTCTCCCAGGGTGTTGTTGGGGTGTGCTGCCATTTCTCTCTATTACCAAATGGCCCAAAACCCTCCAGGGTCTCTTTATTCAATCAAATACAGGAAGCAAGGAGATCGTTCAACAGGTTTATTTGATCAAATCACCCTGCCGGGTGAACTGAAAAAAGTGTCATACAAAACTGAGAAGTAGCTCAGTTTTATGGTGAACACATTGAGAATGTGTACAGACTATTTTCAGGTCATTTTCTTCCAATTCGTCCCTCATCTCTTTCTCTCCCTTTTGTCCCTTCTGGTGCCAACTCTTATCAGTGCCTGCTTTTCTAAGCAACAGACCTCACCTCCTGCATCTCTCCTTACTATGCCTGCTTGTTACTAGACATTTCCCTTTTGATCTTTCCCCTTTACTGAGCTCTCTGCTTTGGCTGGTAACTTTCCACTACTACCTTAACCCAAGTCCCTTCAAAAATTGCAAATCCCAAGATCCACCTCCCATCTGCAGACCAACAGAAAATACTGATGGGGTTTGAGGAGGGGGAAAATGACCCTGGATTGCGAAAGTTATAGTTCACCCCCCTTCTAGAGAGCACTGTGAACCCCATGGATACTGGATGTGGAGCAAACCCCCATGACCAACTTTGAATTCTGGCAGGGTTGAGGGGGATTGATCTTGGAAGTAGGGAGCTGTAGTTCACCCATATCTAGAGGGCACTGTTAACTCTACCAACAAATAATCTGTACCAAACTTGGCATTTATACCCATACTGGCAGTGTTTTGGGGGAAACTGACACAGGATGATGGGAGTTGTAGTTCACTCACCCTTATACATTTTCTAATGGGAAAATTCATCAAACCCAAAAACAAACAATGACTACTTCTAATATTTATCATTACAAAAGACCTAACCTTAGCATTGCTGGTCATCTAAGCACACACACACATCATATTTTATACAATATCACAATATAGTCATACATCGCAATCTAAAATTCTGTGTCATCCCATTCACTCTTCCATCTGCAGGTCACAGACATGTACAAACCACTTTCCTATTACTCCCCTTAAGTGACAAATTGTTCCTCTATTGTCTAATCTTTTTAATAAAAGACATCTTTACCAAGTAACGTAACTGAACCAAAATCTCACTCGATCTGAAAGTGGTTCACATTTGCTGTTTCTCTGGCACTTTGAGGCCAGTAAGGTAGCAAATCGACTCTAGGTTTGAATCCGAACCTTAAAGAAAGTGTCCAAGGTATCGAACCCATCGGATTTCCAATTTCTGTGTGAGGACCTCAAAGTTGGATACAGAAGAAAAGCAATTGGGATAAATACCAACTCTTTTTGAATTGGAGGAAAGTTCTAAGGATCCTATGGATGGCCAAAAAGACCCATAAATGGGTCTGAGATCAAATTTGAAGAAACCAAAAGGACTAAACTGAGGATGTTGTAGCTTGGACTTGCCATGAAACGAGGCTCATTGGTATGAATTTGTCAAAAAACTCAGGTCTTAGCGAGCATCTACTCAACGTAATTGATGCAGTTCCATATCACTTTATGGCTCGATACTGTGGAATGACGGGCTGCAGGTTTTTTGTTTTGTTTTTTTTGTGTGTCAGGAGCGACTTGAGAAACTGCAAGTCGCTTCTGGTGTGAGAGAATTGGCCGTCTGCAAGGACTTTGCCCAGGGGATGCCTGGATGATTTGGTGTTTTTATCATCCTTGTGAGAGGCTTCTCTCATGTCCCCGCATGAGGAGCTGGAGCTGATAGAGGGAGCTCATCCGCCTCTCCCCGGATTCGAACCTGCGACCTGTTGGTCTTCAGTTCTGCCGGCACAGGGGTTTAAGCCACTGCGCCACCGGGGGCCTTTAGCCTTGTGTTGGTACTACATCGAACTACAGATCCCGGGATACCATACCATTGAGCCATGACAGTTTAAATGGGGTTAAACCGCATCAATTCTACAGTCTAGAGCAAGCTTGGGCAAACTTTGGCTCTCCAGGTGTTTTGGACTTCAACTCCCACAATTCCTAACAGCCTACCAGCTGTTAGGAATTGTGGGAGTTGAACTCCAAACACCTGGTCTAGATGCACCAAAAGAAGTCGAAGCTAGCTGCGCCTGTACATTTCAAGGGAGTTGGCCTTTCCATTGGAAATGCATTGGAAGTACATACCGAGCGAGGATATAATTCACCACAAAGAGAGCTGTTTCTGGGAACATCATTTTCCTGCTGGTTCTTGAGTCTCTGCTGGTTCTCGAGTGTCTGTCTGTTCAGATGAAGTGCAATTGCAGCCCCTCCTTAAAAGCGCCGGATTCGGCTTCAGGAATAGCCCGGGTCCCTTGGGTTTGGACTCGTGCCCTTTGAAAAACTATATTCCCTCTGGTTGATCCTAAAGACAGGAGAGAGGAGGCATCTTTCCAGATGGCAGCTGGGCCCTGAGAATGGAGAAGTGTCCAGGTCATTTGTGCAGATTTTGCTCCATCTCAAAAGCAGCAAACATTTCCAGGGAAGGATATGGAGGAATTTCTCATTGCTTCCTTGGAAGAGAGAATTAGCAAAGAATTACGTCCCTAACATATAAAGGCACCTCTTGGGTGCCTTTGAGTAATTTCCGATTCATGGAAAACCAATCCCATAGATTCTGGAAGCTGAGAGAGTGTGACTCACCCCCTGGCCAAACAGGGATTCGAACACAGGCCCACACAGCTGTGTATTTTAAAAGTTTTTAAGAGTTTTAACTACTTATTTTTAATAGTAACATGCATAATTCTATTTTAGTATTTATATATTGTAGGTTTTAAAGTGTACATTGTATTATATTCGCATTGCGTTGTCAAAGGCTTTCATGGCTGAAATCACTGGGTTGCTGTGAGTTTTCTAGGCTGTATGGCTATGTTCCAGAAGCATTCTCTCCTGACATTTCACCCACATCTATGGCAGGCATTCTTAGTTCACAGCCTCTGAGGATGCCTGCCATAGATGTGGCCAAAACATCGGAGAGAATACTTCTGGAACATACAGCCCGGAAAACTCACAGCAACCCAGTTTTTAGCATTGTCACTTTGCATCTCCTTTGAGAGAGAAAATATAAATAAATAGGAAAAAAAACCAGCCACCACCACCGCCACAATAATAATAATAGTAATAATAATAATAATAATAATAATATACACCATGCTAATGTAATGAGTATATTTATGTAATATACTCATTACATAAATGCATACATAAATTTTACTACTGAATTTTTATAAAGAAACTACTAGAAGAATCATAGAATCATAGAATCAAAGAGTTGGAAGAGACCTAATGGGCCATCCAGTCCAACCCCCTGCCAAGAAGCAGGAATATTGCATTCAAATCACCCCTGACAGATGGCCATCCAGCCTCTGTTTAAAAGCTTCCAAAGAAGGAGCCTCCACCACACTCCGGGCAGAGAGTTCCACTGCTGAATGGCTCTCACAGTCAGGAAGTTCTTCCTCATGTTCAGATGGAATCTCCTCTCTTGTAGTTTGAAGCCATTGTTTCGTCCTAGTCTCCAAGGAAGCAGAAAACAAGCTTGCTCCCTCCTCCCTGTGGCTTCCTCTCACATATTTATACATGGCTATCATATCTCCTCTCAGCCTTCTCTTCTTCAGGCTAAACATGCCCAGTTCCTTAAGCCGCTCCTCATAGGGCTTGTTCTCCAGACCCTTGATCATTTTAGTCGCTCTCCTATAGTACCTAAGACGTACTATAATAAATATGGCATGAAATATGGAAAATATCATACCTTCCAAAGGTACCCATAGTTTCTACCTTACTCCGTAATGAGTAAATTCATTTTTCCACAGATTGCTTTATGAAAATGTTGTTGTTGATTCGTTCAGTCGCTTCCGACTCTTTGCGACTTCATGGACCAGCCCATGTCAGAGCTCCCTGTCGGCCGTGGCCACCCCAGCTCCTTCAAGGTCAAGCCAGTCACTTCAAGGATACCATCAATCCAACTTGCCCTTGGTTGGACCCTCTTCCTTATTCCTTTCACTTTACCCAGCATCATTCTCTTCTCCAAGCTTTCCTGTCTTCTCATTATGTGGCCAAAGTACTTCAACTTTGTCTCTAGTATCCTTCCCTCCAGTGAGCAGTCTGGCTTTATTTCCTGGAGGATGGACTGGTTTGGTCTTCTTGCGGTCCAAGGCACTCTCAGAATTTTCCTCCAATACCACAGTTCAAAAACATCTCTCTTCCTTCTCTCAGCCTTCCTTAGGGTCCAGCTCTCGCATCCGTAGGTTACTATGGGGAATACCATTGCTTTAACTATGCAGATCTTCGTTGCCAGTGTGGTGTCTCTACTCTTCACTATTTTATTGGGATTGATCATTGCTCTCCTCCTAAGAAGTAAAACGTCTTCTGATTTCCTGTTTGGAGTCCACATTTACAGTAACCTTTGCGCCTAGAAATACAAAGTCTGTCACTGCCTCAACGTTTTCTTCCTCTATTTGCCAATTATCAATCTGTCTGGTTGCCATAATCTTGGTTTTTTTGATGTTTAACTGCAACTCAGCTTTTGCACTTTCTTCTCTCACCTTGGTTATAAGGCTCCTCAGCTCCTCCTCGCTTTCGGCCATCAAAGTGGTTTCATCTGCATATCTAAGGTTGTTAATGTTTCTTCCAGCAATTTTAACTCCAGCCTTGGATTCATCAATCCCTGCACATCGCATAATGTGCAGGGATTGATCTGCATACAAGTTGAATTGGTTGGGTGAGAGTATACAACCCTGCCGTAGTCCTTTCCCAATCTTGAACCAGTCGGTTGTTCCTGGTCTGTTCTTACTCGGTTGTTATACAGATCCCTCAGTAGACAGACAAAAATGAAAATATAGGTAATTATTACTTTTCAGATCAGTAATTCATTAATGGGAACAATATTCCATAGTACAAACTATGTAGCTCTCTTCATATTGCACCTGAAGAAATGGGTTTGGATGCATGAAACATTGTGTAATAATAATAATAATAATAATAATAATAATAATAATAATAATTTAAAGATCGAACTGCAAAGACTCTGTCACAAGCCAGTAAAGGTGGTCTCAGTGGTGATCAGCACACTGGTTGCAGTGCCTAAAGGCTTTGGCTTGCACTTAAACACAATCGGCGCTGACAAGATTACCATCTGCCAGCTGCAGAAGGCCACCCTACTGGGATCTCCACACATTATTCGCCAATACATCACACAGTCCGAGACACTTGGGAAGGGTCCGACGTGTGATCCAATACCACAGCCAACACAGCGATATTGTCTGCTGTGGACTCATCTTGTTGTGTTTCAAATAATAATAATAATAATAATAATAATAATAATAATAATAATAATAATATACTTTCATATTTTAAACAAGACTCAGATAAAAAAACAGTTAATCTTAACTAATCTTAATCGTAGCTATGTTCCTCATACCCTTTCCTCCTTTTTAATGCTGCAAGAGACTAAGGACTTTATCAAACAGGGAGACAATTATGGCAGACAAAAAGCACCTCTGTTTGGGATTTATTGCGCAAAGTTGTATTGCATTGGGCTTGAAATGCAATCTCCTCTGTGCATTCACTGTAGACCTTGTCAGTAATATGGAGATATAACTTACTGTACTACCAAATCAGGTCGTTGTAATGTTTCCCTCAAGGATCAATCGTCCCACATGCTTGGAACATCAAAAGGGTGCGATGGAGTAATAAGATGACGCTTGGCATTTTGTTGCGGGATTTGACTTGGAAAACATGTGCCCAGATTCTTGGCAAGACCATTAAGCATCATGGGGCAAAGAAGATAGTAGCAATGTGTGTTCCTGAATATTTGGACCTTATACTGCTGATGACTTCCATAGCACTAGGGGGGTGAATATGCTCTTGATTTTATTCCAAAATTTCAATGAACATGTTATGGAGTTTACTACACACTTTCAATGAATACGCTTTGGATTTTAGTCCGAAATTTCAATGAAAAGTTTACAGACTTTAGTTCAAACTTTCAATGAATACGCTTTGGATTTTAGTCCGAACTTTCAATGAAAATGTTATGGACTTTCGCTCAAATTTTCAATGAATATGCTTTGGATTTTAGTCCGAACTTTCAATGAAAATGTTATGGACTTTAGTTTGAACTTTCAATGAATAGTCTTTGAACTTTCGTTCAAAGTTTCAATGAAAACACTTTGGATTTTAGTCTGAACTTTCAATGAACATGTTATGGCCTTTAGTTCAAACTTTTAATAAATATGCTTTGGTTTTTAGTCTGAACTTTCAATTGACATGTTATGAAATTTAGTCTGAACTTTCAAGGAGATTTGCAAGATGTGCAAGACTGAGCACAGCTTGGAGATCAGGTTTGACATTATAAACAGAGCCTTTACAATTCAAACCAAAACCTGGAGTGGATTCACTGCTCCTCTGCCAATGACCCACCCATCCCTGCTGCCAACAAATCCTATAATCCTATATCTACAACATTGTGGATTTTGGGAGTTGCAGTTGCACAGGACTAGCTTTCCTAAACGTAGGGCAACGAACTTCCCTTCACTGATTTTACTGTCCTCATGGAGTACATCTACACCACAGAATGACTGCAGTTTGATGCCATGCCCTGGCTCAATGCTATGGAGTTGTGGGAGTTGTAGTTTGGTGAGGCACCAGCACTCACAGGAGACACTGGCTGCATCTACACTGCAGAATGAATGCAGTTGGACACCACTTGAACCACCATGGCTTAATGCTGGGAAATCATGGGAGTGGTAGTTTTGCAGGGCCTTTAACCTTCCCTGCCCAAGAGGACTAGTGCCTCGCCACACTACAGCTCCCATGACTCGATAGCATTGAGCCAAGGCTGTTTAAGTGGGGTCAAGCTGCATAGACTCTTCAGTGTAGATGCAAATCTTTCCATGCCATTTCCTGAAAGCAGAGAATGAGTTCTCTCAGGCATAGATGCCAGCACCTCTGAGCCTCCTTGAGTCAGGTGCAGAGATGGGATTAGCCCTAATTGGTGGTCCTGTGCCTCTCCCCTGATTACCTGCAATGGATGGCGCACCTGCCATGTGGCCGCTAATCCCTCGGATTAGAGGGACCCCCAGCAGATGGTTCCCACCCAGAGACGTCCAACAGACCTCCCCAGCAGTGCTTTCCCCATAGAGACACACAGAGTACCCTCGCTTTCAGAAAATGTGGCTGCTGTGGCTCTGTCCCTTTCTCCACATTGCAGTCTGACACCACATGAACCATGCGAGGGAATCCCAGATTTTGTTGCTTAGACATTTCCCCTTCTCTCTCCATTACAAACTCTGAATACAAGTTCTTTCCTTTTTTGTCTGGAAGCTACCCTGAGTCCTCTCTGGAAGATAGGGCAGCCTATAAATAAAGCATTATTATTATTATTATTATTATTATTATTATTATTATTATTATTATTATTATCCAATCCTATGGAGCCATGGGAGGGAAAGTGGTGCTAAGTTTTGCTTTGCAGATGGGAGGTGGATCTTGGGATTTGCAGTTTTGAATGGACTAGAACTAAGGTAGCAATGGAAAGTTACGGGCCAAAGCAGAGAGTTCAAACAAGTTCAAATGGGAAATGGCTAGTAACAAGCAGGAGGGGGGATGCAGGAGGGGGCTGCTGAGGAAAATACTGATAAGCACTGGTGCTAGAAGGGACAAAAGGAAGAGATAGAGATGAGGCACAAATTGGAGAAAATACCCTGAAAATAGCCTGTTCACATGCTCAAAGTTTTGACCATAAAAATGAGCTGCACCCCAGTATTGTATGGCACTTTTTTCTGTTCACCCGGCAGGATGGTTTGATCAAATAAACCTGTTGAATGATCTCCTTCCTTATAGTGTTTGATTGGATAAAGAGACTGGAGGTTTTTGGGCCCTTTGGTWAAAGAAGGACACAGCAGCACGTCCCAACTTTGGGGGGGGGGGGGGTTTGAGAAGAGCTCTGCTGTTTCACCAGATGGACAGCAGTGGATCCCACTGTTGAACASCCCTGACCATCAAGTTCTTCCTAATGTTGAGGTGGCATCTCTTTTTCTAAAATTTAAATCCTTGGCTCCATTGTGCCCCAGTCTCTGGAGTGGTAGAAAACAAGCCTTGTCTTTCTCAATGGGACATCCTTTCCAATATTTAAACATGGCTCTCATGTCTCAGCCTTCTCTTTCCGAAACTAAATATCCCCAGCTCCTTCACCTGCTCCTTAGAGGGATTCATAGTTTCCAGACCTTTGGTGGCTCTTTGTTGGACACTTTCCATCTTGCCCATCTCTTTCTTGAATTCCTTTGTTCAGAACTGGATTCAGGGCTGTTATTCCTGGTGACACCTGATCAAAACAGAACAGAGATGAGGTCATGTCATCTCTCCAGCTTAGACAACAACAACAACAATCAATCAATTGACAAAAGCACGACCTGTCAACTGCAAAAGGCCACCTTACTTGGATCTGTGCGCATCATTCGAAAATACATCACACAGTCCTAGACACTTGGGAAGTGTTCGACTTGTGATTTTGCGATATGAAATCCAGCATATATCTAGTTTGCTGTGACATACTGTGTTTTTGTATCAGAATAATAATAATAATAATAATAATAATAATAATAATAATAATCTTTTCATTGAGGCTCAAGGCGGGGTGCAACATAGTTAAAACAGCTAAGTAGAAGGAAGCACTACTAAAATACATATAACGTAATAATTCTGTGTAATTTTAAGAGTTTTAAGGACTTGTCATGTTGTAAATGTTTGTGATGTATCATGTCTCTTTATTTAAGTTGCTATTTTATTTTTTATTGAGTCTGTTTTTAACACATTGGATTGATTTGTTATTGTTGTTTTGGCATTGAATGTTTGCCACTGTGTTTATTTTTCTGGAAACCACCCGGTGTCCCCTGGGGAGATAGGGTGGGTTATAAATAAAGTATATTATTATTATTTGATACACAGCAAGATTAGTACACTGCAAACAAGATGACTATGCTGGATTTTGTATTTGATCACATGTCGGACACTTCCCAAGTGTCTAGGACTGTGCAATGTATCAGTGAATAATGCATGCAGATCCGAGTAGGGTGGCTTTTTGCAGCAGATGGTAATTTTGTTAGCACTGATTGTTTTTAAGTGCAAGCCAAGGTCTTGAGGCACTGGAGCCAGTGTGCTGGTCACCACTAAGACCACCTTTACTGGCTTGTGCCAGAGTCTTTGTAGTTCAATCTTTAAATAATAATAATAATAATAATAATAATAATAATAATAATAATAATTATTATTATTATTATTATTATATCATACACACAGGTAAAATACAGCTTAAAATTTACCAATCACATTGGCATTTTTAGCTGCTGCGTCACACTCTTGGCTCATGTTCAGCTTCTGGTTTATAAAGACCCCTAAATCCCTTTCCCATTGATTGCTTTCAAGCCAGGTGTCATCCATCCTATATCCTTCCATTTCCCTTTTGTTGCCTAAGTCTAGTACCATACATTTCTCCCTGGTTGTGAATATCATTTTGGGTCCGGAACCTGTCCTTTGGGGTATTAGCTCTCCCTCTAAGTTTGCAAATGAGACTCCTGAAAATATCCCCAAAGGGCCTGACACGGCACCGTTTTCTTCCCTCTGATGCTTTCACAATGCGGGGCTTTTGAAAGCCGAATGATCGCCAGCGAAAAAGGAGAAAGGGGAAGCCCCACAGGAAAGGAGAAAAGGCCCAAATTGAGGTGGTTTTCACCAGAACTGCTGAGTAGATTGAGGGGAAACCCTCAAAAAGGAAACCCAAGTAAATCCCAGCAGAGGCCAAGGAGGAAAAGCTGATATGGCAATCCAAACAAGAAGTTGTATTTCTCTTTCCGGACATGTATATCCCCCTGAGTCACTTGAGGATTTAGGGAAATTCCATGGGTTTTCTTAGGCAAGGAAGACTCAGGGAATTTCTAGGTCTTGGGTCCCTTTGTTTTTGGGGATACTCTAAATCAGCATTTTTCAACATGGGGTTTGAAACCCTTGGTGGGGGGTCGCAATATTTTCTGTTGGTCATGGGGGGTCTGTGTAGGAAGTTTGGCCCAATTCTATCATTGGTGGGGTTCAGAATGCTCTTTGATTGTTGGTGAATTATAAATCCCAGCAATGACAACTCGCAAATATCAAGGTCTATTTCCCCCAAACTCCACTTGTGTTCACATTTGGGCATATTGTGTTTTTGTGCCAAGTGGATTCAAACAATCCATCATTGTTTGAGTCCACAGTGCTTTCTAGATGTAGGTGAACTACAATTCCAAAACTCAAGGTCAATGCCCACCAAACCTTTCCAGTATTTTCTATTGGTTGTGGGAGTTTTGGGTGCCAAGTTTAGTTCAATTCCATCGTTAAGGGAGTTTAGAATGCTCTTTGATTGTAGGTGAACTATAAATCCCAGCAAGTACAACATATAATTGTCTAAATTTAGGGGTCCCATTCAAATCTATGATACTATATCTCTCTGTGTGTGAATCATATCTATCTATCTATATCTATGGCTTGATGGCTCTTTGTCAGGAGGGCTTTTTTAATTTAATTTTTATTAATATTTCCAAATACTATAAGGTTTACAGGGAAAGAGTGAGAACAATAAGGAATAGTAAAGGGTGAAAAAGCAAGTTACCATAAATGTACCTAAAAAGAAAAAACTAAGAGTAAAATCCAAACAGGGCTAAAGGAAAGAAGAAAAAAAAAACACACACACACACAGATATGTACATTGTTGACTTCCATTCTGAGACTTCGCTGCATTCTCGTCCTTTTAGTACTTTATCTTCATCTTCCAGCTTCATTCTTCTTTTCTTCTATGTATTTTTCAAAGAGAGACCAATCCGTCTCTCTTATTGGATTTCCTGAGTTTTTTTTCAGTAGAAAAGTTAGTTTGTCCATATCTTTAATCTCTAAAATTTTAATCAACCAAATCTCTACATCTGGGATTTCCCCCAGTTTCCAGTATTTTGCATAAACTATTCTTGCCGCCGTTGCTAAATATGTCAATAATATGTCTTTGTTTTGGTCCAAATTAATGTCCGAATCCGTAATGTTTAATAAATAATATTCGGGCTTTTTTGGAAACAGAATTTCTAGAATCTTTTGAGTTTCTATATGTATTTTTTTCCAGAATTCCTGTGCTTTTTTGCAAGTCCACCACATGTGGAAGTAACTACCTTCATCTTCCTGGCATTTCCAACATTTGTTGTCTGTGTTTTTATACATTATACCTATTTTTTTTGGTGTCATATGCCACCTGTGGAACATCTTCCACAGGTTTTCTTTCAAATACATCGCATAGGTATATTTAATTTTTTTATTCCAAATCGTATCCCATTCCCTCAAATGGATTGGCCTCCTCAAATTTTGGGCCCATCTAATCATACAGTTTTTTACAGTTTCTGTTTCCGTTGCCCAATCCAATAATTTATCATATATTTTGGATATCAATTTTTTTCTCTGAATTTAATATTTTCTCCTATGCGGTATCTTCTAAACAGAAACCTATTTTCTTATCTGTCATGTAACCATGACAGATTTTCAAAATCTTTTTTTAAGTCCTCGTGAGATTTTAGCATTTCAGTATTTTTAACCAGCATGTCCTTATACCTTGGCCACTTTTGCCACCCTAACAGTCTTCTTTGGTTCGCCTCCATGGGTGAAACCCATAGAGGAGTCTTTGAGTAAAAGTTTATTTTGTATTTTAACCAAGTTCTTAATAGAACAGACCTTACGAAATGGTTACCAAAACCTTTTTCTTTTTTTCTTGTTCGTACCAGGTATAGGCGTGCCAGCCCTTTCTCAGATCTAAACCTTCTAATGAAAGTAATTTCTCATTAGATAGCTTCATCCATTCCATTGTCCATACCAATGCATTAGCTTTGTGGTATAATTTTAAGTCCGGGAAGGCTGGATGGCTGGATGGCTCTTCGTCAGGAGGGCTTTGATTACGTTTTCTTGCCCCAGTGAAGGGAGTTGGACTGGATGGCTTAAAGTATTTTCTGTTGGTCATGGGGTTCTGTGTGGGAAGTTTGCTCCAATTCTGTCGTTTGTTGGGTTCAGAATGCCCCTTGATTGGAGGTGAACTATAAATTCCAGCAATTACAACTCTCAAATCTCAAGGTCTATTTCCCCCAAACTCCATCAGTGTTCACATTTGGGCATATTGTGTATTTGTGCCAAGTTTGGTCCAGATCCATTATTGTTTGAGTCTACAATGCTCTCTGGATGAAGGTGCACTACAACTCCAAAATCCAGGATCAATGCCCAGCAAACCATTCTATTATTTTTTGTTGGCCATGGGGAGTTCTGTGTGCCAAGTATGGTTCAATTCCATCATTGGTGGAGCTCCAATGCTCGGTGAACTATAAATCCCAGCAAGTACAACTCTCAAATGACAAAATCAACCTTCCCCCAACCCCACCAGTATTAAATTTGTGCCAAATTTGGTCCAGTGAATGAAAATACATCCTGCATATCAGATATTTACATTACGATTCAGAACAGTAGCAAAATTACAGTTATGAAGTAGCAATGAAAACAATCTTATGGTTGGGGGTCACCACAACATGAGGAACTGTATTAAGGGGTCACAGCATTAGGAAGGTAGAGAAACACTGATCTAGATAATTTGGGGGGCATTTGGAGGGCATTTCCCCGACTTGCTTAGGGCCTAAGTGTGTTTCCTTTCACGCCTTGAGGACGAGGTGTCCATTTCTGTCCTGGACACTCGGACATTCCTCTCCTTGGGTTCTGGATGCCGTTTCTCGCCTCTTGTCGGCTGTATATGGGCCTTGGAGCTGAATGCTCCCGGGAATGGAGGAGCCCAGAAATTGTCCTGCATCTCAGAGGAGGAGAATGTGTCTTGGCCAAGGAGCAGCTGCCCTGTCTCAGTTTCCCTTGCATTGTGAGGCCAGCTTTATTTCCAGCTTTGAGCTGAGTCCCTGAAAGTATCTTTCCCGAACTCCAAAGCAACCCTAGTGTCCAACACCTCCCAAAGCAGGAAGAGTTGCAGTGGCAAAAACGTATGGTGTCTATTGCTACCATTCTCAGAAAGCCGGGTAACCTGGGCATTGCCATCCAAAGCAATGACCCCAAACCAGTGTTTCTCAATCTTCCTAATGCCGTGACCCTGTAATACAGTTCCTCATGTTGTGGTGACCCCCCAATCATAACATTATTTTCGTTGCTACTTCATAACTGTAATTTTGCTACTGTTATGAATCGTCATGTAAATATCAGATATGCCGGATGTATTTTCATTCACTGGACCAAATTTGGCACAAATACCCAATATGCCCAAATTTGAAAACTGGTGGGGTTTGGGGGGGATTGATTTTGTCATTTTGTAGCTGTAGTTGCTGGGATTTCTAGTTCATCTACAACCAAAGAGCATTCTCAACTCCACCAATGATGGAATTGAACCAAACTTGGCACACAGAACTCCAATGATCAACAGAAAATACTAGAAAGCTTTGGTGGGCATTGACTTTGAGTTTGGGAGTTGTAATTCGCCTACATCCAGACAGCCCTGTGGATTCAAACAATGATGGATCTGGACCAAACTTGGCACGAATACCCAATATGCCCAAATGTGAACCCTGATAGAGTTTGGGGGAAATAGATCTTGACATTTGGGAGTTGTAGTCGATGGGAGTTATAGTTCACCAACAATCAAAGAGCATTCTGAACCTCACCAATGACAGAATTGGGCCAAACTTCCCACACAGAACCCCCATGACCAACAGAAAATATTATGTTTTCTGATAGTCTTTAGCGACCCCTTTGACACCCCCTCATGATCCCTCCCAAGGTCCTGACCCCCAGGTTGAGAAACGCTGCTCTAAACTCTCTTCCAACTTCTCATAGAATCATAGAGTTGGAAGAGACTGTACGCACCATGTGATCCAACCTCCTTCTGACAGGCAGGAAAAGCACAACCAAAGCACTCCTGACAGATGGCCATCCAGTCTCTGTTTAAAAACTTCCAGAGAAGGAGTTTCCACTGGACTCCAAGGTAGAGAGTTCCACTGCTGACCAGCTCTTCTTATTATCAGAAAGTTCTTCCTAAAGTTCGGGGGAATCTCCTTTCCTGTCATTTGAACCCATGGCTCCATTGAGTCCTTGACATCAAAGTGCAGAGAGATTGGGAGCTGTGAAGGGGAAGGAAAGGAAGGGGCTCCAGGCCTGGTCCCTTGCTCCTGCGCCTGCGCCATGGCCAACCCCCAGACGCGCATAGCCATGGTTTCTGCAGCTCCCATCGCCCCTGCCCTGAATACCAAGAAGGCAATGGGGAGGGGGATTCCTCATTCTCGCTCCTCCCACCCCTTCCTGCTTTCCCTTCCCAGATCCAGACATTCCTCTCTCTGCTCTGATGCACAAGAGGATGTGCTTGGCCTGAGAAATGAGTCCAAGCAGAAGCAGTGAGACCA